GAGAGAGAGAGAGAGAGAGAGAGAGAGAGAGAGAGAGAGAGAGAGAGAGAGAGAGAGAGAGAGAGAGAGAGAACAAGACAGATCAGCGGGCTGAACGGTGATCGCGTACGCACGTGTGAGGATGACGTGTCGAGATTGGGAGCCTTCTCTTCGAAGCGGAAGCGCCAGTTGCGTCGGAGAAGGGTTTTGCATATGGGAGATCGTTCTTTGAGCGACTACCGTCCTTCTCTTGAAGAGAACGTACGGTCATTAACGCTGCATCTAGACTGAACGTTGCCCCAAATACAGCTATAATGACCGAGCGTTCTATTCGGGGAAGACGGTAGTGGGCGTGGACCTACTTCAAAGTGGTAAGACCTGCGTCATCAACAGAGAAGGACAGCCAATTGGCAAGCAAAATTTTTTTTTTTTTTTTTTTTTTTGGGAGTAAAATTCGATATGTCCAAATGGAGGAGTTAAACGATGAACCCGTGTATGTTGACCTTATTTGAGAGCGAAGGCATTCTCCTCCGGCGACTTCGATGCAGTTATTTGTTTATCGAGTGCAGCTCATGTCTTCTCTCCTGTGTTCTCTTTTTTTTTTTCTTTTTTTTTTTTCCCTCTGTTTCTTTTCTGCTCTGGCATGTCGAGGAGGAGAGTGCTCCATCTCTCTCCTGAAGAGATCGCGCTGATTACCTGACCTGTCTTCCCTCAGAACTCCCAACGACATATTGAAGGCATGCATGTTGTCTGGAAACAGCATTTCTGTCTTCTTTCTCTCTCCTCTTTCTTCATCACTTCTACTGCCTCTCTCACCTCTTTCTCTCCGTGTCCCTCCGTCCCTCTCGGCCTCTCTCCTCTCCCTCTCCTCTCTCTCTCTCCCTCTCCCTCCCCTGTTCCCTCTCCTCTCCCTCCCTCTCCCTCTCCCTTTCCCTCTTTCCCACTCTCTCTCTCTCTCTACCTCGTGACCTCTTGCCTTTCCTCTTTCCATACCCATCTCCGAGCCGCTCTCTGTCCCCATCTTCCTCTCCTCTCGTTTGCCCTGGCATGGGCCTCACCCTCCTCTCCTCACTCTTTGCCGGCGCATTCTTGTGCGCCCCCACCCTCCCCTCTCTGTCCCTCGCTTGCTTCTCCTCCTCCCTTCTTCCCCCCTTCGTCTCCCTCCACCCCCTCCATCTCTCTATCCATCTGCCTCCATCCCCCTCCATTTCCCTCTCCCTCTCTCTCCCTCCCTCCCTCTCCTATCTTCCTGTCTTCCTCTGTTCCTCTGTTTTTCTTTGTCTTCCTTTGTCTTCTTCTCTGTCTTCCTCTGCCCATCTCTTTCTGCATCTGTTACTCTTTCTCTCCCCTCTTTTCTGACTTGGTGATTTCGCTTGCGAACTGTCTGATTGGTGCAGTGAGGGAGAGCGTGAAAGGTGCCAAGAAAGAGTATGACAAAACGGAAGACGATCTTAAGGCGCTGCAGAGCGTGGGGCAGATCATCGGAGAAGTATTGCGTCAGCTGGACGAAGAACGCTGTAAGTAGAGAAGACCCAGTCGCCATCGTGAAGTTTTATTGTTAATCTCCTTTGAAAAAATAGTGAAAAAAAAGTTTTATTGTTAATCTCCTTTGAAAAAATAGTGAAAAAGGGTTGCGGGGAGTAATGAGCGATGAATATAGCTGGCTGCAGCCTTTTTTCTTTTTGTTTCTTTAATTTTTGGATGAATTGCAGAAACGTTTAGGTCTTTGCAAAAGATGAATCTAGCGAGGTCAGAATGCACCTGGGCATCTTCACGTCCACGTGCAGTTCAGGAACGAGGGCATCTGTATGGCCAAGCGGCACTTGCATTCTGGACTGGACTGGTTTTCCAGTTCTGAGTACCTTTTATGGACTTCTTGTTTGTCTTCTTTTTTGTCTTTCTTTTTGTCTTTCTTGCGTCTTTTTTTTTGTCTTTCTTTTGTCTTTTTTTTGGTCTTTCTTTTGTCTTTTTTTTTTTGTTCTTTCTTTTTGTCTTTCTTTTTGTCTTTCTTTTTGTCTTTCTTTTTGTCTTTCTTTTTGTCTTTCTTTGTCTTTTTTGTCTTTCTTTTTGTTTTGTTTTTTGTCTTTTTTTTGGTATTTTTTTTGGTCTTTTTTTTGTCTGTGTTGTCTGTTTTTGTTCTTTTTTTTTGTCTTTTTTCTGTCTCCGGTAGCTATATTCATGGTGCTATCTACAACAGATTCAGTACGTTCGACAATGTCTGTTTCCGTACGATGAAACTAGCGAGGTCAAAATGCACCTGTCCATCTTCACGTCCATGTGCAGATCAGGAACGAGGGCATCTGTATCATAGTATCATAGTATCCACTTGGCAGGAATCCCCGTTTCCTAAAACGGTATCGCTAAGTGGTTCTGCCTTTGTTTTTTTTTTGGGTGGGGGGTGGGGGGGGGGCAGAGCGGGGAGGGATTAATTTCAGTCAACAAAACAGCCGTACGGTTTATTTCCAAGGATTTCCTGGCAGAAAAGGAACCGCAGTGGTGCTCCCCGAAATGGATATGGAGCCAGGACCATAAGGATCCTGTGTATGGTTAAAAAAAAGGAAAAAATAAATGTTGTACCGTGTTCTCATTGTCGTCTTCTTTTGAATGAAAAGTTGAAAACTCCCTTCAGTCTCCTATTCTTAGTGGGCCTCACTCCATGACTCACCACATGCACAAAAGACAAAAAATATGGTGGTGAATCTGTCCATATTCTCAGGGAAGATTCATTCTCTCATTTTGCGCAGTTGGTGAGTAGTCGAGTCAGGCTCTGAACGAGGCAGAGACTTTTTACTTTTCTTTCTGAATTCCTTCCTTTTGGTTACTGACATAACAGAGGGTTTCCTTTTTTTTTTTTTTTTGGGATCGTTTCTCTTATGCATGTCATCCTTGCGCAGGGGCCATGCTAATATTCTCTCTGTGTATCGTTCCAATTCTGATGGATGTCCCTAAGGACGTTTTTGTCTTTTTAGCAGAGGGGACCAGATACAAGTCCTTAGACTGGATTTTCAAGTTTTTTTTTTTTAATATTAATTTTGGACCATTTCTGGGAGGCGGTTAACGGAGGCCTCAATTTTCAGACAACTTGCCATGCCATTTATAACAAAACCCAAGGGTCATTTTAACCAAACTTGCGACCAATTCATAGAGTGGAGATCATACTAACTACTTGCAAGAACAAAAAACAAAAAAACCCTAAAAAAGCTACAAAGCAGCAAGGCGAAAGTGCACTTGTGGACCATTTCTTGATCTATGCGTGTCATCCTTGCAGAGGGCCATACTAATATTTCTCTCTGTATCGTTCCGATTCTAACGGATGTCCCGGAGGACGTAACAGAGGTTTTGTCTACGTTTCTGGATGCCTCTCTTTTTTCTAGTTTGATATCTATTACTTTATTTTGAGTGGATGTGAAGACACGCTAATGCAAATGCTTTAATGCTCGGCATTGCCTCCAATGGATTACGTGGGTAGGCTCAGGCCGCTCAGCTAACAGGAAATTGCATGCACAGCCTGTACAAGTCACAAGAGAGAGAGAGAGAGAGAGAGAGAGAGAGAGAGAGAGAGAGAGAGAGAGAGAGAGAGATGGTACGCCGATGAACTGTTTAAATACAGTCCCAAGCAGAGTAGTCACGCTGACGGTAGGCACCCCTGCCCCTGGATTAGGCGTAACACTGAAGAACTCGGTATGCATTGGGAGAATGGATGTGTGAGTAGGTGGCTGGCAAGTGTGCGTCAGTGTAAGGGATCAAACTCTGGATGACTGTGCGGCGTTCAGGTCACACAGAGACGAAAGTTTACCTTGTTGATGGGCCCATCTGCAGCCTAGTGTTAAGAATCAGTACACTGACCGGGAGGATGAGTAGGGGAGTAGGTGGATGGTGAGAGTGGGTCGGTGTAATGGTGAATTTCTATATGTTTGAACATCGATGAAAATCGGGCATGGTGATCCTGGGCCCCTGTGTGGGAGGGCTTGCTCTGAAAGAAGAACGAATGATGAACAGTTTCTTGGGGAAATGCATTGGAGGTAAGTGGGTTAGTGTTTTGATTTCGCAGATTGTGGAGCAGAAGGTGATAAGAAGATTGGTTGTGGTTTTGCTTTGTTTTTTTTTTCATTTTTTTTTTCCACGTGTTTTGATTTGGGTTTTGTTGATTTGTGAATGCAGTGATTGTGAAGGCAAGTAGCGGTCCGCGGTATGTTGTCGGGTGCCGGAACAAGGTAGATAAGTCGAAGCTGGTGGCTGGAACGAGAGTAGCACTGGATATGACGACACTCACGATTATGAGGGCGCTGCCAAGGGAGGTAAGTTGTACACGAGTTAGGTTTGATGTAAATGTGCGCTTGCTTCTGCATGTGTTAAACCTCGAAAGAAAAACAAAGAGGCATCTTGACCTGGGCTGTGAACCGGGCCGCCTGGGTCACCCTGGTTGCCCGGGCGGTCCAGCCGGGCAAGAGCCAAGGAAATCCGAAAAATCTTTAAAAAAAACAATGTTATCATTGTTATGCAGGACAGTAAACTGAACAACTCTTGCCTCAGGGTCAAGTTGAAATTCCTTACCAAATCGGAAGGAGGGGCGGGGAGGGGGTGGGGATTGGTGACGATGTGTGCTTCTTGTATGGAGGAAGAGATAATGGTCATTTATTTGCCGCTATCTGCAACCAATTATTATCTTATAATCCGTGCAAGTGGACTGTGCACAGAGGTACATCTTACGTCAGCATCTTTTCCATTTCGTGCCGTACATTGTGTGACGATCGATGGGTAGAGATGAAAGACATGCTCTCCCAAAGGTCACTCGCTTGATTGCACTCCAGAATGTTTATTCTTGAATGGCAGTAATTGCCACGCTTTGTAAATGCCCCTGCTGTCCTCCTGTCCGTCCAAATGTTCTAAGACAGTCCTTCCCGTTAGCATGGTTTCTTCACTGGAACCGATGAAGATGGTTGGGATGAACTCTTTTGTTTGACCTGTGTAGCACACCGAACATGTTCGGGTGTTCGGCGGAACGCCCCCCGAACATGTTCAGGCGTTCGGAACGTGTTCGGTTGAACTTTTTGTTTTAATGATAAAAAAAAAACAGAAAATGTTTTTTAGGTTTTTTATTTTTAACGCGAGTTTGGTTACGAATTTGAGCACACCACCCAGGCAAAAGTTGTTTGTATTATCATTTTACATAACATGTATTTTTTTCAGATTTTTCCGAGTAAATCTATATATACTCCGACGTTTCTAGCTCTCTGCTTTTGTAGATGATGCGGCGAGCGTCGGGCCTGTACTAGCAGGGTCTTTCTTTGGCAATGGTAGAATATACCCTTTCTAATTCTCCTTTCTATCCTTCTTCTTTTTTCTTTTGCTTTGCTCCTTCCCATTGTTGGGGTATTTCGTTTTACGGACCTACTGTATGGTTCCGTTTTTTCGTGTTTTGGTTATGGTAGAATTGTTGGTATTTTTGGTACTCTTTGTCTGCATCCCGGTTGGTTTTGTCTCGTTGTTCGGTCTACGTGGCGGTGTTTTCATGTGGGTTGTTCGATCCACGTGGCGGTCGTTTCATGTGGGACTTGTCATCCAGGTTTTTCCATTTGGCATCCTCGTTGGCTGGTTCCCGTTGTTTGGCCTATTGATGGGAGGCGGTGCTTTTAGGTGGGAATCGTCATCTGGGATTGTCTTTATATATATTTTTTGCAGGCAAGGGTGTTGATTGGTATCCTGGTTGGTCATTGTCCTGTTGTTTGGCCTGTGACGTAGGGGGCGGTGCTTGCATGTGAGACTTGTCATCTAGGATCTGTTATGTTTGTTTTTTGGCACCCTTGTCTGCATCCCGGTTGGTTTTGTCCCATTGTTCGGTCTATTTTGGCGAGCGTAGCAGTGCTTTCATGTGGGACCAGTCATCCGTTTTTTTTTCTTGTTCGGCTTATGAGAGCATAGGAATGGGAATACCAACATCTTGATGACGAACAAGGCCATCTGCTGTATATAGATATGAGTTTGGGATTCCTTTTTTTTGCAGGCAAGAGTGTTTTGATATCCTGATTGGTCTTGTCCTATTGTTTGGCCTATGAAGTTGGGGGCGGTGCTTACATGTGGGGCTTGTCATCCAGGATCTTGTTGCCCCCTGTTTTGTTATATTTGGCTGTTCCCTTCCTCTTTTCTTTGCCTCTTTGCCTTTTGGCTGTGTGCAAGTGGGTCAATATGACACACGGGGGTGGGGGCAGCCGCCGCTCAACCTACATCCACGTGGGCGGCCTTGTACGCAAGAGGTTCTGAACAGGGGGAGTTGTAAGTAAGAAGGTAAAAAATGAATTGATATGTTTTTTGTTTCCTTTTGTTTTTTTCGCTTTTGCACTCTGATAACTTTGTGACAATCGTAATGTTACATAGTAGAGGCGTTCGCAAGAACGTAAGAGCATATCCAACACTTAGGGATTTTCGGACTAAGCTCATAAATTTTCTACAAGCAATTTCTTCTGAAAGAATTCCTAGAATAACCTTGTGAGGCAGCCGCCAGGCTGTGGTAATGTCACCTTCTATAACCCAAGTCGCACTCTTAAATGTTCGGTCTACCTGGAGTATTGCACGCTTCGCGTGAGAACAGTCCAGAAATTCCGGATCGTATATATGTATATATATATTTTTTTATGTTTGCGCTCGGAGGGTTCTGGCGCTTGTTCGCGTTCGGAGGGTTTTGGCGCTCGTTCGCATTCGGTCGCGAACGTTCGGGTTTGGTCGCCGAACGCGAACACGATGCTACCTAGTGTTTGACCTTTTAATGGTGCTTGCATTTTTTTTTTTTTTTTTGGGTTGTTTGATTGTATTCTTGTCAGACCTGACCATCAATTGCTGTGCTTGTTTATGCTTTTTTTTTTTTTTCCGGTGCCTTTTCGTGCCTACTGACTTGTTTTTCTACCCTTCCAACTTCCACTCACATTTCAAACTTTGAACAATCTTCACAATCCCGTGATACTTATTTTTTTTTCTCTCTTCGTTGGCCCCCCAGGTAGACCCTGTTGTGTACAATATGCTCCATGAAGATCCGGGGAACGTCAGCTATTCCGCGATCGGCGGTTTGAGTGAACAGATCAGGGAGCTGCGGGAGTCGATCGAGCTGCCACTGATGAATCCGGAGCTGTTCTTGCGCGTTGGCATAAAACCGCCGAAGGTAAGTTTGTGTTGTGTTTCTAATACACGATTTGCACCGAACCGAAAACATAAAGAAGATGTTTGTAATGTCAGAATCGAAACACGCTAGAACATTCCCTGGCTGCTGGGCCTTATGTCGCGACCTGGGCAAAGAGTTGTATCTCGTCATATTTGCCAGACATGTATACGCATCTGTCGAGTGATGCTGTGAGTTGCTCAGTGAAGCCCACATAATACCACCCAGCCCTCATAGCACCACCTACCCCACGTAGTACCATCTGGCCCACGTAGCAGGACCCCATGACCCGCACCACATAGTACTGCCCACCTACCCCACATAGTACCATCTGGCCCACATAGTATGACCCCATGACCCGCCCCACATAGTACTGGCAAGGCCAGACCACCCTGACTGGATGGTAGGCCCACACAGTATCACCCAGGCCAAACGATACAGTACCACCCAGATTTCTCTTTCTTTTTTTTGTTTTCCTTTTTTTTTTTCCCACCTAGATTTCTCAGACTGAAGAAGTGCAAATCTACACTACACAAGGTTTGACCACCGACAAGCAGCCGCGAAGCGCCGGCGAATGCGCAATTGCGGGACCGGCCTCCCTCAATAATGAGAAGGTCGATAGAGTGGCTGTAGAGGTGGGGAGGGAAACCGACCCAGCCAGGAACCGAAGGGTGGCAGTCATGAATCTGTGGCGGAGGGCGCGGCCTCTCCACAACTGGATTTCTGGAAGTGCACTATGTGGTTATGTTTATATTGCACACACGACGTGATTGCCACCAAGTGGAAGGACGCGTGGATCTCATCTTGTCCCGGTTAGTTGTGTGTATTGTAGTTTGCGAACAGTATACGTTACAACCTTCCGCATAATGTCTTGTTATTTGGAGGTCTGCGGATCAGTACTGCCGTCTTTGCCTGAATAGAACACCTGGTCATTTTTGCTGCATCTGGACTGAAAATTGCCTAAAAATTCTCCACAACTGGATTTCTGGAAGTGCACTGTGTGGTTATGTGTATATTTCAAACACGGCGTGATTGCCACGTCTTGTCCCGCTCAGTTGTGTGTATTGTAGTTTGTGAACAGTATACGTTACAACCTTCTGCATAATGTCTTTTTATTTGGAGGTCTGCGGATCAGTACTGCAGCCGTCTTTCCCTGAATAGAACACCTGGTCATTTTCGCTGCATCTGGAGTGAGAATTGCCTAAAAATTACAGCTAGGCTGGGCCAAAAAAAAAAAAAAAAAAAAAAAAAAAAAAACCAAAATTTTTAAATTTGATTTTTAATTTTAATTTTAAATTCGGTGAAGAATTTCGATGTGGCCCTGAGGCAAAAGTTGTTTGATTTATTTTTCTGCATAACACTAGGCTACCAGCCGGGCCGCCCGGGTCCCGGGTGGTCAGCCCGTGCAAGGACCAGGGAAGGTCCCAGCATAAAGAACCCCCCCCCCAAAAAAAAAATCCACAAAAAAACTATGTTGTGCAGAAAAATAAACTGAACAACTTTTGCCTCAGGGTCACATCGAAATTCTTCACCAAATTCATAATAAAAAATAAAATTTAATTATTTTTACTTTTGTTTTTATTTTTTTTAATGTTTTTGACCCGGCCGGGCAAGTGACCCCGGGCTACTCTGGTAGCCTAGGCATAACATAGTTTTTTTTCCCGGATTTTTTTGATTTTTTTTATTTTTTATTTTTATTTTTTTTTGCTTGGACCTTCACTGGTCCTTGCATGGGCTGGCCACCCGGGACCCGGACGGCCCGGCTGGTAGCCTAGCCGGGTATTGTATTCGGGTGAAAGACACGGCGGCTTTCTATGCAGCACCTATTGTGTCTCCTAGTGCATATTGCGCTTGATGGTAGCTGTTTTATGTGGACAATCTGTGTTGCTGGTGACTGACACTCTTGCCTCTTTGGTGCTTCTCGCTTGTGTGTTTCTTTTGACTCAAGGGTGTGCTGCTCTATGGGCCACCTGGCACAGGAAAGACACTGCTCGCAAGGGCAATTGCAAGCAACATCGACGCAAACTTTCTAAAGGTAAGGGAGAATGGAAGTAGGGAATGAGCACTCTTGGATGTGAACACTTTTATCGGCTCTAGCTGCGTCTCGCGTCTCCATGGGTGTCTTCTTCTGCCATTCGGTATGGTCACGATACACAAAAGCATTTGAGTTTCCTTAGGAATCTGCACAGGTTTTCTGTGAAAGGTTGATGGTTTCAGTGTGAGACCGCGGTGTTTGGGTTGGAGTTGTGCTGGTGGGGAAGGTTGAAGCATTTGCCAGATGTATAGGCAAGCAAGTGCAGTTCTGTGGAAGACGTAAGCTCCCGATATTTGTGTAGCTAGATGACGAGACGTTATATGATCTAGTCTTTGCCGTGGATGTCTGTGTTCTCTGGTGCTCGTGAGGATGGGTGTGAGGTGAGTCGGGAAATGAGCTTTCCCTTGACCATCTTAGATTCATCTCTCATTTGCTGATGTGCTTTTGTGCATGTGCTGCTGTGTGTGTGTGTGTGCGGGGGGGGGGTGATGGGGGAGGGAGATGTTATTGGCAGGTTGTCTCCAGTGCTATTGTGGACAAATACATTGGGGAGAGTGCGCGACTGATCCGTGAGATGTTTGGGTATGCAAAAGACCATCAGGTATTCGCAAACCCATAAATACACAACAGGAGAAAAATAAAAATATACAAATTAAAAAAAGGAAACCTTGAATTGCAGCAACTTTTGTAGGCATTGTTCTTTTTTACTTCTTTTTTTTTTTTCAAAGAAAAGACTAGGCTATAGTCTTCACTCGTATACCTCACACTACCCTAACCTCTTATGTTAAGTCCAGTGTGGCCAATCGTTGAAGTTATGGGTCAAGACCGACCTCTTCCCATGGTAATTCAGAAATATTTGTTACATTTGCGAGGCTCAAGGCCTCGATCTGCCCTACTGGGCCCTATTTTCTGTACAGTCGGCCGTCCTAAGTGAAAGCAGGCTCAACCCAGGGCCTACAGGCCCATTTTTGGGGTCACCACGCAACTGGGTAATTTCAGGCAGCTGCGCAGCGCCAGTTGGTTGAGAGCGCCTAGGCCTAGGCTGCCTCTTTCGAATGTAACCAAGGCAGGCCCTGGGCCAGATTCGCAACATGGACCGAACACAGGCCGCAGGCAGTTGAACAAGGGCAACCACCACAGGCTCAGTGCCTGATTCATTTGGACTGGCAAGTTCATTCATTTCTTTCCGCAATTGGGTGGCATTGTACTATCTGATGGATGTGTATCTCGAAATTGGCCACGATCATAACAGCTAAGTGTTTACAGTTGCCACTGTCTGATGCCTCCCTGCGTTCTTCACATGAATACGATGTACGGTCATCATTGCTGTATTTAGACTGAAAGATGCCACATTACAGCTATTATAACCCTACGGTGTATTCGGATGAAGAAGGTAGTGCAGAACGGGAATTCTCCAGGCGACTGAAACATGCCTGCCTCTGTCATTGTCGGAAGGGTCGGGTTGCTCAGGCCGTCACGAAGTCTGGCGGGAAGGTGTGTATTGTTTGTGCCACATGGGGAAGGTTCGGAACCTTGCTATGCCTGTCATGGGTCAGTGTCGGCAAGGCGGGGTCGCTGACGCCGTCAGAAAGTCGGGGTCGCTGACGCCGCCAGAAAGTCTGGTGGGAAGGTGTCTATAGTTTGTGCCACGTGGGGAGGTTGTGAGCCTTGGTGTGCCTGTTATTGGTACTGTTGGATGCAGGGAGGCATTTTTTCTCCACCTCACTGCTCTGACGGCGGAACCTTGGAAGGGACCCTTCTAGTATGGAGCTCGCCTTGTTGCTGCTGTGGGCCTTTCCCGAATTACTTCCACCTTTGCAAGGGTCGATAGTCAATTTGTTCGGTTTATCTCAGAGCATGTGGCTGTTGTCCAGACCAGATGACAGGATGTTAGCGTTGCGCTGTTACTTGTGCAAGCATGTTGTGGCTGCAGGGAGGTGTTAGTCCTCTCACTTCCACCGCTTGGGAGGCAGAATCGTTGAGGGGACCCTGGTGTTAACCCCCCCCCCCGTGTTGTCGATGTGGGCTTTTTGAGGATGGCTTTTTGCAGGCGGTGGGAAAATGTTGGGTTTCTTCGACTGCAGCCCACTGGGGTCTACACAGAAGCAGAGCCTGGTGGGAAAATGTTGGGTTTCTTCGACTTTAGAAAACTACTGGGGTCTACACAGAAGCAGAGTGTAGGTTCTGTTATTGTCGTTTTGGATGCCACGTCAGTGGGATGATGTTCGGTTTCTTCGACTTTAGAAAACTACTCGGGTCTGCACAGAAGCAGAGTCTAGGTTCTGTTGTCATTGTTCTCGATGTCACTTTATTCTTGCGGAAGGGTGCTTCACGTGATGTAGGGTGTGCACAAAAGAGCCAGCACTTCTCTGAATTCTGAGTCAGAAAAGTTCTTCTGTGGGTGATGCCTCGCACGGAGGGGGTTGTATAACGAAGGAGAGTTAACTTGTCGAATGACAGTCGGTATTCAGGTTGCTTGACGTCTGCAAAAGCGGCGAAATGTATTGTCATTGACTGATTGGTACTGGCAGCTTCTGAAGACAAGTTGCTGCACTGCTGCTGGTGTTTCGCAGGGACGGTCAAGCAGGACTTCTGCTGTGCTGGGTGTAATAGCCCTTGCCGTGGCAGTGTTCCGGGTCGATCTCAAACTTTGTTGTGCTTGTGCTTGGTTTCTTCTTATTTGCGCGTTCTGTTTTTCCGGCATGATGAATATGTGTTCGTAGATGCCTTTCTCCCACTCCCCTGTTTTTTTTTCCAGCATAGTGATCTGTGATGCCGGACTCACCTGTTCTGCGATGCCAGACTCTCCCCGTGCAGACAAACTGGCATCTGTACAGGTCACCAGAGAAGGGCTGTCCTGTGATTGCAGGCCTGCTTTTCCTGGGTCCTATTGTTCCGCAAACCCCATCTAACTGTTGAAGCATTCTCTTTATTTATTATTTATTTATTTATTTTTGGCTTCTAAATTCTCTAATAAAGTTTTCACAATGATTTTACATCTACGAGCACGTCGTTACGTGTTACCTGTTTGAAGGGAAATCTGTTCCGTCTAGCAAGCGCCTTGTTCCTCAGCTTGATTGCTTTGTTATGTGTCATGTAGTTCCTGGGTAAAATGCATCCGTGCCTGTTGTTATGGCTTCTTGTTTTTGTGAAAATCAGCCTTTATCATCTGCATGTACTTCCCTGCCAGTTTCTGGGTTAATGCGTCCGTGCCTGTTGTTATGGCTTTTATTTGTTCTGTGAAAACTAGCCTTGTATCATCTTCATGGATGAGATTGATGCTATCGGTGGGCGGAGGTTCAGTGAAGGCACAAGTGCCGATCGTGAAATTCAGCGCACTCTGATGGAGCTCCTGAATCAGCTTGACGGGTTCGACCAAATCGGAAGGGTGAGTGCAGTACGGCCCCAATTTCAGATTTTACCAGTCGCGAGACTGCCTCCTACCGATCGGCCCTACGGGTAGTCTGCGGAATAGTCGGCAGTTGGCATAAGCTGTTGGCCGATATGCAACCCTGATGCTATCCCTCTTTTTTTTTTTTTTTTTTTTTTTGCTTTTTAAACCAGGACCGACAGCGGCGCGATGTCTTCTTTTTGCACCCCCGCATTGGATGTTTGTCCTCAGCAGGCTATGTTTTTGCCTGTGACAGTCTCCCATTGACACTATCTCGTATTTACATTACGGAGATCCTGACCTGCTACTGTCTTCACCCGAAAGAACGCCCGGTCATTATAGCTGTATTTGGCACAACTTTCTGTCCAGATGCAGCGATAATGACCTGGCGTTCTATTCGGGTGAAGACGGTAGGGCACATGCATTAGCTTTAGCCATACGGTTCACTGCTGGCATGTTTTGCTCGGTGGGGAATTTTCACTCCATTGAATACACAAGGAATTGAAGGTAGTATTTTGCTGATGTTAAGTCATGGACTGATTTCTTCAGCCCTTTTTTTAATGTGAAGGTGCTTTATATGATCGACATAAAACCGACTTGACCTTTCGAGCTAAAGGATCAGATATCGAGACAGTTTGTACGAAATAGCAAAGAGGTTGGGGAAAAGAAAAACAAAGCAAAGAGGGGTGAGGTGGCAGGGATATGCTGTAGAGGAGGTCTGCTGGTTGGGGCAGCTAACTCCATTTGGCTTTTGTGAACAGCACTGTGTTGCATCTTGGACATGCTGGATGGAAACTCAGGTGCTCACAATTTTCTTNTGGGGCAGCTAACTCCATTTGGCTTTTGTGAACAGCACTGTGTTGCATCTTGGACATGCTGGATGGAAACTCAGGTGCTCACAATTTTCTTCCGGCGCGATGAGCTGGCTGCGGCCGCATCACGAACAACCGTGAGTGAGAGGGTTTCACGGAAGCCCATTGTATTGCTCGGTGCCAAGTTGCAACTGGCAAGTACCGTCTCTCGGTGCCATGTAGCATTAGCGGAACCAGGTCCTCAGATTCACGTTGCCGATTTGTCCCCTTCTCGCTTGCCTGATCTGTTGCTGCGTCGTGGGATGGCACCGGGAGTGCACTTGCTCTTCGGGGCGTACGAACGGTACAGAAAAAAATAGCATGGCCCCCTGTGCAAGGATGGCACACATAAATCGAGAAATGGTCCCAAAAAAAAAGAAAAAAAGAATTAGGAGTGCGCAGCCGCATCTCTCTCGTTGTCAGCTGCCATCACATCCAAAAAAAAAAAAAAAAGGAAATAGGAGTGTTTTCCTGCACTTGTGCCCCCTCTCCTTACTACCATCTACACCCAAATACAATGCAGGGTCATTATATACTATGATTATAGCTGTATCTATATGGCTCAGCCTGTTGATCCTCGAGCGTTGTCCTCTAACATCTACTGATCTGCAGAAAGTATTATAAAATGTGACAAACCGTCTTGTCCTCAAGGGTACTTTATTTCTTCCATGGGAAAGTTATTAGATTGAAGGACAGAAAATAGCCCCTCTATGTCCAAACGGACAAAACAGGCGTGGCCAGGATGCATATGTACCCCAAATACAGCTATATGGCTCAGCCTGTTGATCCTCGAGCGTTGTCCAACGTCTACTGTTCTGCAGAAAGTATTATAAAATGTGACAAACCGTCTTGTCCTCAAACTTCCATGCATCTGCACAGTCAGGTGTCCTCTGATCAGGGTAGTTTTTTGCATTTCTGAACCCCAGCAGACTATATATGTCCCCGTCCAAAGCGCATAAGCTTCCTTTGACAGTGTGCAGGCCATATACTTGCTCGGGTTCGGAAATGCGTGCCAAGTTGAGACTGGTATTATGCTTGCTCACCCACTGGGCAGATCAAGTGGTTGCCCTGTTAAAGGTGCTTGGACTTATGTCCCAGTGTTAGGGGAACACAAAGAAACCCGAGCATTGTCTTGTGATTGCAAGCGTGTGCTTTTCGATGTCAGTTGAGAATTGACTGTGCATTAAACTGCCACTGTTTCCGTTCAATTCACAGTCCCCAGCTCGCTGCGGTTGTCTCCAAGTCGGAATCTGCGGTTGGTTCTCGCCCTTCAGGCCCAGCCAAACCCCTGCCCGAGGCAGATCCAATCCCACAGTGGAGGGGAGGGGCGGGGGGGCGGGGTTGACAAGTAACCAAGAGGTTTTGCGAAGATGGTTTGGGAAGAGAGGTGATTTAATTACAAGAGAGAGAGAGAGAGAGAGAGAGAGAGAGAGAGGTCTCTCCCAGATGATCCCACCATCAGAGCACCGCTTTCTCTCTCTTTCTATTGCGGGCAGAGGTAGCGGGATGTCGCGGATGAGAAGTGGGTGTTCTGATTCACATCCGCCAGATTTTGCTGTGCAGCTGGGTGAGGGAGAGAGAGAGAGATGTATACACA